AAAAAAAAGATTTACCTGGTTAGAGAACATGTCATTATTGAGGGAGCTGACAAGGTTACAGGCATAGTGCACCGGAGTGGGCCTCTGCTGGGGCTTGAATGAGGGGGACACACGCTGGACAGCTCTCAGAGCGCACTCATATCCATCCCGTATAAAATCTACATCACTGAACACCTGTTGAAGCTTTATACCCTGGATTGGAAAGATAATGTAGTTAGTAAGAATGGTCGGGGAAACTATGTTAATTGTAATAATAATGATAATAATAGTAATACACATACATAATGTTTTCTGCATGTGCCAAAAGAGTTAATACTTTAGCAATACTTATTCCAAATCTCTAGTGGACAAGCACAATGGCTACATCCAGGATCAAACTTTAATAAACCTTTTGACCATCATTAACCCATTAACGCCGGTATATTTTGAAGCTGAAAATAAAAGATTCTGGATGGCTACAAAATCGGCGGGCGGAAGTTCCCCGGAGTCTGTCCGCCTGCCCGCCTGCCCCCCGCGGCCCGCTGCTGCGTCAGAGCATGAACCCTGATACAGCGTCACACTGGCGGGAGGCCCGGCACTGTTTATTTTTTGGGGTGTCTCATGTGTGGGACACCCATCGTTATTGGGTTAACTTTTAAATTCAAATCTTAATCCTGTACACATGCAGACAGAACTAGTTAATCCTATCAATCAGGTGTAAATGTAATGTCAACATCATCAATTCTATGGAAAATATAGAGCTGAGTTCCTATTAATCTTTATTAGCAATAATAAAACAAGTTTTGCCTTGGTCATGTCAAAGATCCACAGTACATATCCAGTATATATTCTGGTAAGTTGTGGAATATTTTTATTGCAGATAAAACTCTCAACAGTTAAAAGGAAAACAAAAAGAAAATCCCCCTGAAAATTCCAGGACTTAGAGACCACAGACCATGTTCAGATAACATTCCCATCTTGTGCACTTTATCAAATTCAAAGCACAAACATCCTGATTCTATAGAGGAGAGTGACTGCAAAGAAATCTGTTATCGTGATCCATGCCAGCAAAATCTGGAAGAAGCTGCCGTGCAATATATGGTATTATATGGTATTAACTTTTGTAACCTGTATATAGGATGCCTATAAATAACAGTTCTTATAAGAATCAAGTACACACCTTTTTGAGAAGAAATGAACATTTACATCCCTCCTCACCACTATCTGATATTAACTATTGATTTTATTGCTAAAATTAATGAGAATAACAACAACAGTAATAACAAACCAACCACATCAGTAACAAAACCATTGCTTAAACACCAATCCTCACCTCTCGCATCATGCTGGTAAGGACCCCCTGGATATTCCTAGTGTTGTTAAAGGACTCTAATTGTCGTCCCAGGCAGCTGAGAAGGGCACCATACACTGCCTGATCTGCTGGGATCTTCTCCTCCTGCATGCACCTTAACAGCTCCTCCATCTTGTTGAAATTACCCTAAGAGAGAAAAGATGAGGGAGCATAAGAAGGAGAAAGACTCAGAATGTGAGTGTGACAGAACATGAAAGGTGTTGTTGGGTGTTTTGAAATTTCTTTGTCCATTTTTAAAACGATCTCTCTCCACTTGCTCCTTTTTCCTGTTTACTTATCATGGATATGATATTTTTTTCTTGATTACTCTTTGGTTAGAAAGACTCTGACATTGTTGTCTTCAGTTAATTTTTCTTCTCATTCCTATCTACTTTTTCCAAAAAAATCCTTCTTTTTGTTCATCCCTAGTGTTCTGTTTTCTCTATTCACCATTCACTTTGTTAGAGTGATCTTTCTCATTCAGGTCTTCTCTGTTAGGGCCACTTTTTCTGCATTCCCTTTATAACCAATTCCCTTCTACAGCTTTAATAGCAAAATAGTATCAAAATATAAGTTGGGCACACTGTCCTTGTAAACTACATATAATGAATATAATAGCTGAACGAAAATCTTAAAAAACTGTAGAAAATAACCAGATACCATATTCAACCTTAATCTTACCATGGCTACCCCCCCCTTTTCCCACTCCTATTCCACCCCTCCTTACAATCTTTTTACCCTCCTTTTCTATTCCAAACTCTAACCCACCTTCTCAGCATGTCCCTGTAGCAATATACGGAAGGGCCCTATGGAGGAGACCCTCATGCCGTTGGTGTACTTGGAGAGGCGGCGGTAATAAAGCAGTGTGTGTGTCGCGCGGTTTAGCATTCCCACATTAATCTGCAATGAGAATAATAATTGCAACAATAAATATTAATGATAATGATAATAATGATGATGATAATAATAATAATAATAATAATAATAATAATAATAATAATAATAATAATAATAATGATAATAGAAAAAATAACAAAAAATTACAAAAATAACAACAATAATAATAATAGAAAAAATAATGAAAAATGATAAAAATAACAATAATAATAATAATAGAAAGATCATACTAATACAAAAATTACCAACAGAATATTAGCACTAATAACACTAATAAAATAATAATAATAGTAAATGATAGTACTAATATTGATATTAATACTAATAATGTCACTAACAATAACAACAGTAATAATAATAACAATAATAACAATGAGGATGATTACAAAAGGCCTCTGAGATACTCACACACACACTAAGATACGACTCCAAGGACTGATTGAAGCTGATCTCACGTCCTCTTCTCTTGATTTCCTCTATGCGCTTTCTGGCTTCCTCATCCTGCTTCTTCTTCTTTTGCTTCTTGCTCTTCTTAACATTCCCATCTACCCCAGGACTACCTTCTGCTGCAGGAACCAATCCTTCTTCAGTGCTGCATAGGTCCTCAGTCTGTGCTGCAGACACCTCTTCCCTTGTCAATTTCTTGTACGAGTCCCGGTCTATGAACATGTCATCCTCCTCTGGGGTCTGCTCATTGTTCAAAATGGTCGTGTTTGTCTCTGTCATTACTGCTCCCTTCTGGGCCTTGCTCTTCTTTGCCCCTGATGTGGGCTTCTTCTTGCTGGAGGTAACTTTTCCTATTTTCTTCTTGTTATTACTACTCTTCTTACCTCCTGCCCCACTCTTTTTTGGGTTGTTTTGAGCACCTCCCTTTTCCGCTACATCCTCCGGCTCTACACTCAGTGGTTGCAGGGAGGTCAAGCCAGAAGATGGGTGTGATGACAGGAGGGAGGACAGATCCATCTCAGAAAGTCCAAGCACTTCCTCCACCTCCAGCCGACTTCTTTCACACACCAGTTCCTCATCTACTGCACCGTCCCTAAGCCTATTATCACATGTTTCAAATGCACCAGATGCAAAGCTCTCGTCATAGGTGTGCGTAACACCTTCATTCCATCTTACTGCTTCACAAATGCTGGGGTATCGCAGGGACTTTTCTAGATGGGAATTTATCAAGTCACTGAATTTATCAAGAGACACTTCCTCAAAAAGGTTTCCGTCTGAATGGCTACCTAGCTTAGGCTCTGTCACTATGGTTGCTGTTGAAACACTACCCAGAGTCTGCTCCAAGGACAAGCTATTGAGGCGGGTAACCTTTGTGCGCTGCTCGGACACACATTCATCTTTAACTGTCCAGGAGAAACAAAGGGCCTATAAAAACACTAGCTAATCATCAGACACTCTATGATAAGCATAATTACATTTTAGAATATATTCTATGCTATGAGTAAAACTGAATTCATTGAAAACAATGTTACTGTTCAAACAGTAATGAGAATTTTATAACATGGAATATTTTCTTGCGCATCAGGAAATTCCCATTTTCCTTCCCTTACACAAATCCAATAAAACTTCATGTATGTAAAATGGTAAACAGTTCTACACCATTACCTTGGATGATGTCAATAGTTGAAGCCTTTTTGGACCGTCTCTTCGGCTGGCGAGATTGTGGCACTTGTGTGGATGTCTGTGTTGACTGGTAGCGCACATTTCCCCTTGTGACTGAGATATGAAAAAAAAACATTACTTACATGAAAAAATTATATAAATATCAACAATATTCTGTAATTGCTGATAATAATACCAAAACCAATACTATTGCTACCAAAAACAATACTGATATCAATATCATTTTCATTAAAAAAAAAAAAAAAGGTTAATCTAGAGGATATGGAATTTTAGTAAACAAACATGAAATGCTACTAAAATAGAAGAACAACTTGCAAACTAATCGAAGAAGTCAAATTTAACGCCCGGAAAGACATAATTACATCATAATATCAGAATAAAGTTCCTTTCTTTGCTTATTGGCTAAGTCAATGTAAACAAACCATGTAACTCAGAAGATGGCATTCAAGAAAGTAGTACATGTGCTACCATCTATCGTCTGATAGACATTTGGGTATAATTTCACGTTGATTTTCGATATCTACTCCCCAAACGATTTAAAGTACCATTATATTCATTCATTTGACTAATTTCTCTAATCTATTCACATTTTGTGCTCTTCAAAATTTGGAGTGATGTCAATGTATGGCACAGTGATAAGTCATTGGCCATTGGGTCAGAAGTTATGTCACCGTGATCGCATGTGGTATTTGAACTGCCATGTAGGGAGGACTTGGGGAGTAGCCCCTGGGTTAGGAAGGTTTTTGGTTTGTACAGCTAGGGAAACACATCCATTGGCTAGTGAAGCACAGTGATCACAGGGGGGTCTGGGGGCATAGCCCCCGGGTTATGAAGGTTTTAAGTTTCTACAGCTATCTTTGGAGTAGTTTATTTGTTTAGGCTGGGGTTCATTCATTTTGAACTTTCATTATTATATGAAATGTGATTCTTGGCTAGGGTTTTTCCTTTCTGCACTTTCTTTTACTTTTTAAATTACCTTCACATAACCTTAAAAAGGTAATTTTGTGGGAAATATGCCTTGTCTTTATGAAAAGTCTATTCAATTTACAGTTTGTTTGGTGGGCCTGTATGTGGTCCCCCCCCCCACCCCTGATTCCCCGTGTCCCCCATAGGGGACAGGAGAGAAAATATAGGAAAAAACAAA